CAAGACGCAGTCACAGAAGTAAGCCACAAGAATTAGACACAAACAGTTTGTTACTTCTAACTTACTGTGAACAACAACTTCTGAATCTAATTTAAATACATACATACTTGATACCCCTTCAACTGTTACGTAATTTATGAACCGCCTACAAGAAATACAAGGTTCATACCATTTGTGATGTTATACATACCTTTCTCCATTCCTTCCAAGTCTTGGGCTCCTGGAATAGAATTGAGCTTGATGGTAGCTTCCTGCCACAGTCGAGCTGTATCTGCATTGGTAAACTGGTTACTTTGTTTTTGTTTGACCAATTCTGGATGTTCGTCCATGAATTCCAACAGCGTTTTTTTCTGTTGGGCTGTTATGGTTTTCGTTGACATTTTTAAAACAATAAAGCTAAAGAAAGCACAAATCTACTCGATGACCGTCCAATAATAACCGATAAAGAAGACAACAAACAGAAACGAATGAAAGCAAAAACAAACGTCAGTCAGATGTCACCTCTGTCAAATACCTGTCGGGAACACTGTAAAATGCGGTGTTGCCACGATGTGGTAGGCGAAATCGATTTGGTTGTTGCACAGCCGGAAGCACGGTAACAAGAATACCAAAATCCGTTGGTTAACGCGTCGCCGAGCGATCCGCGCGCTATACGTCTCGCATAGCGAATCAAAAACGTAACGTATTACGAGAATAGCGGTCCTGGACTGCGTGTATGTTCTGAGCGACGCCTTTGTCGTGACAAACGACTATGGGTTGAATAAGAAGTGGACGTAGATCTTGCATTGCGACGATTAATTAAGGTGTCTAGTTTCTCCATTCTTTCTAATAAGTAGGTATACGTGTCGCAATCATTATTACCCTTGGTGTTGCTCGGTGAGCGATTTTTCTTCTTATGACTCTTGGATTTACCCATAATAATCCCTGAAAAAACGGGCTGAAATAAAAGTAAATTGTATGATGCCTCTAAGGAGTCCCGTTAAATAGGCCCTGAATCTCCTATGTTAAAGGCGAAAATATTTGAGAATAATTCAAAAAGAATTACCTAGGGTATCAAGTCAGGCGATATCACTCGGTTTTTCGTCTCTGTTTATTAGCTGAAGCAGCGAACGCAATGAACCTTATCGCACAAGGACGAAAACCACAATGAAGCGAATAGGACGGTGCGCCACTAGATCATCCAGGTGAACGGCAGTCAGGACCGCACGGGCGCATTTTTCCTTTTCTTTGAACCTCGTGATAAAAAGTATGGAAAGCCACTACTACACAATTATATAATATTGAGGACTGGATCCCGAAATATAATTATTAGAAATAGCCGTATATGTGTAAGGCTTAAAGAAAAATATAATTTAGGTTGTAATTTTTCATATATTTTGCCAATTAATAATTTGAACTTACTACTCTATCTCTGCACATTTTTCCAAGAAATGAAGGCCCACAAAAATCAAACATCAATTATGTAACTTTGGCTGTAAGGTTGACCTGAAAAATATAATTTGCACACTGTACATACATATTACAAAAATAAAATTTAATAGAAAATGACACAAGATTTTAATGAGAAATTGACAGGTAAAAGAACAGATAGTTATAAAATAAATGTGTGGTTTGCTTTTGTCTGTCCGATCACGAAGCAATCAATTATGAGCAGCTGTTTCGTGGTTTTTGGCTACGTTTTAGCGTGTTTTAGGTTTAAGGTTTCTGGAACAATCAGTGGAAATATAACAACAATACAATATACATGTTGTGTTATCTATCAAAATATCTATCGCGGAAACTAAGTCACATACTCTCTCACACACACGTAACTCCTAAATGACGATTCTAGCTCTGAAGTAGATGAAGTCTATTTGCCATTGAACAAAATAATAAACGTGCTTTGATTTCTTCCGTCCGATCAAAAAGCGACAACCATGAACAAACATTTCGTGTTTTTTGTTTATTGCACAGCACGCTCTAGGTTTAAAATTTGTCAGACAACGAATGAAACCACATCATAAAAATCAAAATAAGACAACGTGAAACATCGCCATTTAATAGTCACATGACGATTGTGTTTCCTTCGCGAATTAAGCTCTATAAAATCTCAGAGTAGGAAGGTTACAATTTAACGTTTTGCTAGTGGTAGATGTTGCTTTACAATGTCTAGATCACGCTCTTTGAACAGCATATAGCTAATATAATTTTGTACGTTATCAGACACAATCTAAGCTTAGACGAAGCTGAGGAGCTGACAAAACGTACGATACAATTGTACATGGTTGGTGGTCTTTAGTCAAATGCAGAGCATATTTATTTTATTGCTATATACAGCTAGAATCGTCTAGCGGTTACGTGGTGACTGGGCTTCCGTCGCAAATTAAGATCAATACGATCAAAGTGGTCAATTATAGTGATAAACAGCGTTTTGCGTTCTTATTTCAATGAGTACTTATGTTGATACCATCAGCGTTTTTAATATTACAGACATTTTGCAAAACAGATCAACTTCTATCTTGAAAAGGATCAGACATTTTAAAGCTCAATATTAGCCACGGTAACTTACCGATGAGAAAAAAATTCCCTGAATCCTTTAGATGCTACTGTCTCAACCTTTGATAGCCTCAAAGTTGTTTTTGTTGTGTCCATGATGCTTATAAAAATGACATGATACATTTCACTGTTCCACCATTTTTATGAATTATCATTGAGTTGCATTGTTTCGTTTATAAGATCCGTGGCTGTTCAAATGATGACATTAACTTTCAGGCATACAAACTGATGGTTAATTCAGTACACATAACACACTTCTAACAATACTCAAAGTCAATGTTATTAATAATTTGATGCGTACGAAGTCGTTGAATAAGTTATATTGATGTCAGAAATGCAAAAAACTTTTTGGTTTTCAACCACTTTGAATGATATTTTTTTAAATTTGCTCTCTACGAACAAACGGTGATCAAAAACAATACGGTTTGGGAAAACGCCTGGTAGGATGCGATTGATTAGTTCATATTGATGCCAGACATGCAATAAATTTTTTGTCTTTGGTCATTTTTACAAATAATAGATTTTTTTCAATACCTGTCATGTATAAATAGTTGGGGATAAAAAATAGGATATTTCGGAATTGCTATCGATGAATTAATTAACATCTATACATTTTTTAAACGTCAGAGATGTTACGATGAAAATTTGGGAAATAATTACACAAGGGCATCGAAATTACCGAAAATGTTTCATGAAAGCGTGTTGTCTAACAAAAACTAAAAACTGCATGAGCTTATTTTCATATTTCAATGAAATGGTCTGACTCCAAAGGAGGTTATTGATTGGTAACATGCTTGAATTGATAATTATCAGGTTTATTTTGATGCACCAGTGCAATTCGGTAGATTATTTACCAACTTTTAAATTCGAAATTTATGCATGTCAAGATGATGAATGGACATTTTATTAATCGTAACTATAAATACGGATGTACACGGTAATTTGCGATATCTACTGGGCAACCTACTTATTAATTTTACAATAATTCCACACTTGTTATGGCATTTTTTTATGTATGATAAAAATATTCACGTTAAATTGTCCATTCTCAATTCTAATTGTATTTTTTACAAAATCTTTCTCGCATAAATTGTCATATTCAGTACAATAATTTTGCAGGTTCAACTTCTTCAATCTCCCAAAAATTCTGTAAATCGTCAGGTAACATCTGATACCTATGTTGCTAGACAGCAATGAATATTAGAAATAGAACAAAATATTCGCCATTTTCTAAATTTACAAATAACAAAGAAATATCTTCAGGAAATTTCTAACGTAATATTCAGCTATATCAAACTTTATATTGCTTCAGGATCGCTTTTAACCCCTTCGCCCCGGCCAGTATATTCAGCAAGCGCGCTGTCATCCGGCCGCATCGTCAGCGCTGCGCCTGGCGACGCGATGCGACGTTTCAAGATACATGCATATTACCTTGGATTGCGCGTGCTTCTCTCTGTGTGGAAAGAGAGTAAATACAACGTGGCCGGTTTATTCACTCTACTGTGTGTCGGGCTTATTAGTTTCAAGTCTATGCAAGTTGGGCTTGTTTTCTATGTTGTCTCTGAGCTTTGTTATATTATTAGTATTGAAATAAGGTTTCGATATGTCGAGTGATAGCAGTGACTTAGATTATGATCCCGTAGATGACAGTGCATCTGACGAAGAAGATGAATTTTCATATAATTCAAGAGAAAGTGACGTGGAAGCCGAATGCGTCACTTTTGAAGGCTGGATTATCGTGCCACATCCTGAGGATGATAAACGGCTAACCGATGTGGTACAACCGACCCTCCACTATGATGTACATCCAGCTGTAGTCCTGGAAGAAGTGATGTCTCCAATGAAATGTTTCGAAACATTTGTTAGTGAGACAATTGTAACATTTTTATGCAAATGGACTAATGAACGTGCGGCAAAATATTTCCTTGAAAATATTGACAAAAATATGAAAGTACACGGATTACGTTGGCGTGATGTGACAGTTAGTGAAATGTACGTATTCATTGCTCTGGTACTTATGCAAGGCCTGATCCATTTACCACACCTTAGTGATTACTGGAGAAAAGACTTTCTTTTGGCTGGACCCCAAGTTTTTTCCGCCACCATAATGAGTAGGGATAGATTTCTATCTATCATGAAATTTTTACGCTTTTCTGACCCTAAAGCCACCGACCCATCTAGACCCATGACCCGTTTGGCAATGTTCTTCGCTTTTATAAAGGAAAATACGATGATTGCGATTGATCCAGGCGAAACTTTTGCACTTGATGAATGCCTTATGTTTTACAAGGGCAGACTACATTTCAAACAGTATATTCAAATCCAAAAGATCTAGATTTGGAATCAAACTGTTTGCTCTGTGCCCTAGTGATCCCAAATTTAGAGGCTATACCTACAGTTTTGCATTGTACGTCGGTAGAGACATATATAACGTTGCACACATTCCAGGAACTGATACGCTTTCGATGTCTGAAAGAGTGGTTGCGTATATGCTGTCAAACTTACTTGATGAAGGCCGTGAAGTGATCTTGGATAATTGGTACCTGTCAGTTAGGTTAGTTGAGTTCTTGTTGACACGAAATACTTACGTGACAGGTACAATTAGAACCAACAGGGGAGTACCGTCTGAGCTCACACAACTTCAGTTGAAAAAAGGACAGTCGTGTTTTATTAGAAAGGGAGATGTACTGATTGTGCGTTATAAAGACAAAAAGGACGTTTATGTGATCACATCGAAACTGACCGCTGATTTCATTCAGAAAGACCAGTATTCCGTTGTCGATAAACGCGTTGTAGTATTACAAAAGCCAAGTCATGTGGATCACTATAATTCAAATATGGGTGCCGTTGATGCAACGGATCAGGACATGGAACCATACAATGCAGCACGGAAGAGCTACGCCTGGTTCAAGAAAGTTGGGATCCACGTGTTACAGAGAATGGTACTGAATGCCAAAGTCCTCTACTCGGTTACAAACAAACGAAAAGTAGATATGAAAGACTTCACATTACAGTTATGTGATGAAATTCTTGCCAAAAATCTTTCAGACTATACAGCAATGCGTGATCAACACAAAAACGCGAAAAGGCAAAAACTTAGTGAACCATCAACATCAAGGTTGGCAGGACATGAGCTCGTTCGTAGTGAACAGAACACGAGACGCAGATGCTGGGTATGCTACAACATTGAGAAGAAGCGCTCTATTTTCACGTATAAGTGTTGTATTGGATGTAAAAACCGCGTACCATTGTGTTCCTTAGACCACTTTACATACTATCATGATAACCTATGAATATGTTATAAATCATGTAATAAAGTGTTCTTGTAAAGTTGTTTCATCATTTTTCACCGTTTTTGTCTTTTACCATTTCTTTTAAATAATATCCTTATGGTGATTCGTTTTTTTGCGAACAAAGCAAGGGAAAATATAGGTAAACTTCATCGAATGTTTGTAATTTTTCTACTATACGGCACTGAGAAATTGAGGTATATGCATGTATCCGGTCAAATACCGTAGTCGTATAAAATTTTATGGCGGCCAAATGAAAATGATGCACATGATGCATCACCGGATTAAAACGCGAACTAGTATATACAGAAATGATGCAAGTTATGCATCACCGGGCTCAAGGGGTTAAGAGACACAATGTCTGAATTGCCTGAAAAGCTTTTGACTTGAAATTCTTTTTGAAGCAATTTAATTTCCATCAAACATTTATTGAATCTATCGGAAAAGTCTCTTCTTACCTGAGCTTCTTTTGTCCTTATTGCAACTCAATATTTAATTAAACCTCATCGCATTGTTCAATCTTGGTCATTCCCTTCTCTACTTTCATTAACACCTTGTCTACTGAGGAAAGGCACACTTTTTATCCATTTTTAGGATGTAGTACATTTTCTGGCTAGGTAAGTAGTACAGGCAACTATAAAATATAAAAAAGGTTTATTCTAGAAATAGCTATGTATGTGTAAGGTTAGAAGAAAAATATAATTTAGGCTGTATTTTTTTATATATTTTGTCACTTAAAAATCTTACTTACTTACTACTCTATCTCTGCACATTTTTCCAAGAAATGAAGATCCGCAAAAACCAAACATCAATTAGGTAACTTTAGCTGCAAGGTTGACCTGAAAAATATAATTTGAACACTGTACGTACATATTACAAAAATAAAATTTAATACAAATGGAAAAAGATAAAAAATATACCATTCTAAATGAACTAGATAAGAAAAAGTTTTTAATGAGAAATTGACAGGTAAAAGAACAGATAGCTATAAGATAAATGTGTGACTTGCTTTTGTCTGTCCGATCAATAAACAATCAACTATGGGCAGCTGTTTCGTGGTTTTTGGCTACGTCTTAGCGTGTTTTAGGTTTAAGGTTTCTCGGACAATCAGTGGAAATATAACAACAATACAATATACATATCTTGAGAAAGGTGTGATCGCACAGTCGACTGCCAAAAACTGGTTTAGCAAGCAAATAAGCTGACCCTGAATGAAAACAAGACAGTTAATATAATATTTTCATTGAAAGATCCAGAAACACAACATACAGAACATACACAATTTCTAGGTATGCACGTAGATAAGAAATTGAGACGGGACATACACAGTAATGAAACAGCAAAAAAGCTAAGAAAAAACATTTACCTACTTAGAAGCTTATCGTATGAGTTGAATAGTGATACGTTGAAGTCAGTTTACTTTACTCTATGCCACTCTTTTATATCATATGGTATCTTAGTTTGGAGTAAGGGTGTGGACTGGCATCGACGATTCTCTTTACAGAGGCGGGCAATTAGGATATTGTATTCACTGAATTATACTGACCATTGCAAACAAGCATTCAAAGAATTGAGGATACTCACATTGCCTTCAATATATGTTTATGAAGCACTGATGTATGCTAACCAGTATTTAAATTGCTGTTCGCATACCTCACATACTGACTATGATACAAGGAGTGTTGGTAACTTAAATATTCCTATTGTAAGATTAACGAAAAGTCAGAAAAGTTTAAAAATTACTGCACCCAAATACTACAATAAATTACCGCTGCAAATCAGATCCTTAAATTTAAATGCCTTTAAACAGACAATAAGAAGTTTCCTTGCTGATAATGCTTTTTATTCATACCATGAGTTCTTGGATTTTAAATTTAGATATGTGCTGTATCTGTTATTACTTTTTAAATTATTTGTATTATTTCAGTGTACCATTTTAAATATTATTATTTATACATATTTGTCATCTGCAAAGTGGATTAAAAGATTATTATCGATGTATACTATAAACATTTTGTTACAGACTGACGTGTGTAAGTACAGTATGTAACACCAATAAAGTATTGTATACATGTTGTATTATCCAGCGAAATATCTATCGAGGAAACCAAGTCACATACACTCTCTCTCTCACTCGCACATACACACACACTCACACACGTGACCCTTAAGTGACGACGATTCTAGCTGTGAAGTAAATGAGGTACATTTGCCATTTTGCCATTGAACAAAATAATAAACGTGCTTTGATTTCTTCCGTCCGATCAGAAAGAGACAATCATGGACAAAAATTTCATGTTTTTTGTTAATTCCACAGCACGCTCTAGGTTTAGAATTTGTCGGACAACGAATGAAACCACATCATCTAAATACTATACAAAGTGTGTAATCTATCAAAATAAGACAACGTGAAACACCGCCGACTAACAGTCACGTGACGATTGAGTTTCCTTCGCGAATTAAGATCTATACAATCCCAGAGTTGGAAAGCTACAATTCAATGTTTTGCTAGTGATAGATGTTGCTTTACAATGTCTGGCTCTTTGTACACATATAGGTGATATAGTATAAGTACAATACAATTGTTCATGGTCTTTGGTCAAATGCAGAGCACACATGCTATATACAGCTAGAATCGTCTAGCGGCTACGTGGTGACTGGGCTTCCTTTGGAAATTAAGATCAATACGATCCCATTGGTGAATGAGTATTTATCTTGATACCACCAGCGTTTTCAATATTACAGACATTTTGCAAAACATATCAACTTCTATATTGAAAAGGATCAGACTTTTTAAAGCTCAATATTAACCAAGGTAACTTACCGATGAGGAAAAAATTCCCATGAATCCTTTAGATGTTACTGTCTTAACCTTTGATAGCTTCAAAGTTGGTTGTGTTGCGTCCACGATGCTTATCAAAATGACATGATACATTTCGCTGTTCCACCATTTTTATGAATTATCATTGAGTTGCATTGTTTAGTTTATAAGATCCGTGGCTGCTCAAATGATGTTCTGGAACATTAATTTTCAGGCATGCAAACTGATTGTTAATTCAGTACACATAATGCAGTTACGACAATACTTAAAGCCAGTGTTATTAACAATATCACGCGTACGTTTTACACATTTTATATGTTTAAGGTTTGCAGGAATAACATTATAAAATTTTGAGCTTAGAAAATAGAATGATCTTTGGCTGTTAGTTTTATTAAGTCTAAGATTTAGTGCAGAGGTTTCTTTGAATCGCGTTTGATGGTTGTGGCTGATAGAAAGTAACAATTTTGGATTTTTTGTTAAATATATTATTGTATAATAAAAATAAATTTGTGAGCAGTCGAAAAGCTGAGATTCATTGTAAAGATTTTCTGAGGGATAACGTTTCTTTTTGTTCAACAGAACTTTCAAAATACACTTCTGCGTAATTTCAATCTTTTTATAATAATTATTCATGATTCCCCCTATGCTAAGATTCCGTAAGATAGTAATGATTGAACAAGGGCATGATATATCATGTGTAGATATTTTTCGCTTAAAAAACTGCTGAAATATTTCACTTTCGGAATAAGGTATCTTAATTTTTTTAATAAATTTTCAATATGTTTATTCCATCTTAGATGAATACCCCTAGGTATTTGAAATTATCAACCGATTGTATGTTTCTACAGCTGTTCAACGTTTTAATTTGGAGTTGATTAAAATTTTGGGAAGATCTGTTGTCGCATGAAAATGTAATAAAGTATGTTTTGTTGTAATTGACTGTTAAAATCCTTTCGGTGAAAAAATTTGTAACATTTTGAAAATCTAATACAATTTTGTTTTTTAAAGAAATCCAATCTTTGTCTGAGAAAATAATTGCCGTATCGTCTGCGAAGCCAATAATTTCTCCATCGTTTTTTAACTTAAAAGGGTCATTAATATGTAAATTAAACAGCATTGATCCTAATACGGTTCCTTGTGGAACTCCGCATCTAACAATCATATTTTCACTCAGTGTACTGTTGATGTTCACACATTGTGCCTGTTTTCCAAATAACTTTTCATGAGTTGATAAGGAACTCCACGAAATCCTAAATTTTGCAAGGTTCTTAATAATTTTGATGTGTAAAACTATCGAATGCTTTGGTTAGGTCTACAAAAAGGCATGCTGTTGACTTATTATTATCAACGTACTTGTAAATTTTGGTTGTTAACTGAATAAGTGCATCTTGACTTGATTTTGCTTCCTGGAATCTATATTGCTCTTCAGATATGAGGTTGTATTTTGCAATAAAATCTGAAAAGCGTTTTTTAAGAATTTTTTCGAAAATTTTTGAAAAGTTTGTCAATACTGAAATTGGGCGATAATTACAAGGTTTCTGTTTATCTCCAGATTTAAATACAGGTTTTATTATTGCCTTTTTTAATTGGGTCCTCTTTCCATGCAGGTGTTTATAAGATATGCTAATACTTTAAAAATTTTATAATCTATTTGTTTCAGAGTGTATGCAGTTATATTATCAGATCCCGGTGATTTTTTAACTTTCAGTCGCTTTATGATATGTTCAATTTCGTAGTGATCGGTCTGTGTCAGATACAGGGAATTTTGCAATCTGGTTTTTGTATATATAAGTTGTGTTTCAATTGAGATGTCTTTTGCCAGATTCTCACCAATTTCAGAAAAATATTTACAAAATTCATTGCCTGTTTCAATATCGCTTTTTGTAAGTCCCCCATGTTCTTTTTGTACGGCAGGAATTTCTTGGCATTTCTGAGAATGTTGTATTTTTTTTTTGAAATGCCACATTTTGGCCGAAGAATTTTGAAGTTTATCAACTACATTTTTAAAAAAAAATTATTTAGCCTCTTTTATAATTGTGGTTATTTTATTTCTGTATAATTTAAATTCATTTAGAAGTTCTAAATCGTGTGGAATTTTTTTTGTCTTTCTATATAGCTCAATTTTTCTGTTAACGGATGACATAATTCCATTAAATATCCAAGGCTGCCTTTTAATATTCTT